TACCGCTCCCCTTGCCTTCCTCCACTCTTGGGGTTCACAAGCACCAGGAGGGGATGTGTCCCGGGCCGGGGGCTGATCTGGAGGGCAGAAAGCGCGGCTGCAAATGCCTGGCCGCTGCGGGGCTCAGTGCGCACCTGCAGCACAGCTTCCTGGCAGCCCGGCATGGGAACCTACCTGCAGACCTTGCCCGTCCACCGTGGTGGAGTTGAACTTGAAGCCTTGGCTGTCCTCGGGGCTGGTGCTGGCAGGGGAGTCGCTCTCCGATCTCCAGCAGTGGGACTGCCTGTCCTTTGGGGAACAGAGGCACGGATGCGCACGCTGTCCCGAGAAGGCAGCGCTGGCCACCAGGGGAGGCAGGTCAGCCATGGCGATGCCCTGCCGAGTCCCTGCCGCCCGGCAGCAAGGAGGGGGACACTTACCAGGACGACAGGGCAGATGTAGGAAGGCAGCAAGATGTGGTCCCGCAGCGGGCCCCCGTCGCACTCTGACTTCACGTGGGTGGCACATTTGTTGTGGAGCTGGAGGGGGCAGGAGGAATGGACGTCAGGCAGGGGACACCCAGCCATTTCCTATTCATAAGCCTCTCCTCCCCCTGGGGCTGGCAGTGCGGGGTGTGCTGTGGGGTGCACCCTGGGCCCCCCATGCCTGCATACTCACAGTGACTTGGCACCAGACGCAGTGCAGGCCTGTGATGCCCTGGTAGCACTTGATGCTCTTGTGGCATCTGTCACACTTCACAGGGGAATTGCCCTCGATCCAGGTGTGCTGCATCACCTGCAAGGCATGGGGCGGGTACTGCGGGTGCAGCACCCACTGACTCGCGGGTGTCTCCTCTCCGCTAAGGGCTGCCACCGTGATTTCAGAGGGTGGCTCATCGTGCAGGGATGCTGACTTGCGCTGCCCTTTCCAAACCAGCCCCTCCCTGCTGCTCCATGTAGCACATCAGGGACACCCGTCCCCCACCCAGAGCTGCGGCAAACCTCAGGGCCAGGGGTCCTGCAGGTCCCCGAGGGCTGGGGCTGGGGCCCACCCTGCTGGGCTCTGGATGCTGGGAATGCCCACGAGCTGCTGCCCAGGACCCAAGGGGCAAATCCCAGGGGAAAAAGCCACGGTGGACCAGGGCAGGAGACTGAGGGGCCAGCTGCTGCCGGTGGTGCTGCCTCCAGGAGGGCTCCGCGGGAGACCCACTGGCTCAGAAACATGCTGGCCGCCTACTCACGCTCATGTTTCTCTTAGATTTCACGTAGGTGCTGATGCAGGAGGCGATATCTTTGGACACGCATCTCTCGTGGACAGTGTACTTGCAGACTGGTGGGAAAGAAGGTGGTAAGCATCACTCCCTGGCATGGGCACTGCCCCCTCCCCACTCATCCTGAGCACCCACAGGGCTCAGCACCGATGGGGGCCAGTCCCCCCTCCCCAGGGCACTGGGATGGGGCAGGAGCCGCTGGCCTGGGGGCATGGGGGGCCAGGACTCACAGGAGCAGCAAAGGCCCTGCTTGCGGACCCCCAGCAGCATGGTGCGGCAGAAGTTGCAGTAGGCGGGTTTCTTGAAGTGCTTCAGCCTCCAGGCATGCTGCCCGTCATCCTTCACGTTCTGCAGGGCAGGAGAATGGAGGGCGAGGGGGGGTCATTCCCCCGACAGGAGTCCCAGCCCGCCACTTATATTAGTTTTTTGTCCCGTAAAAGCCCCCAGTGTGTCTGCAGGAGTTTGCTCCCAGCAGGACCACGGGCTCCCTCTGCTCCCCTTCTCCCCAGTGTCCCTCAAGCATCCCTGCCGCTGCATCCCCCCGCTCCCCAGCCACGTCCGGCTCCTGGCACTTCCGGCACCGAGCTCCGGCTCCCCACAGCCCCTTGGCACAGCCCAGCTGCAGGGATGCTCTGCCGGTGGCTGACGGGAAGGAGGTGACTCCACATCTGAGGCCAGGCCACCGCCACCACGGAGTGACCAAAGCAAGCTTCTTATGTCTGGGTCCAGGCACAAGCACTCTGCAGGAGCCACTTAAAATTCCCTGTTTTCTTGAATCTTCCTGCCAGAAAACCTGCCCCCCCCCCCTCTGTGGGAAGCAAACACAAGAATGGGCACTGGGGAGCAAAACCCTGGATTTTCCCTGCAAACTATTACCTGATGGCCAGGGATGCATCTCGATGAAATGAAGCCCAAAAGGATGAAAAAACAACACAGGGAAATAAGGGGGGGGTTCTCAAACCGCTCCATCTCTGCTCTTTGAAGCTCACCCCAGGAGAGGAGCTGGTATTCTAGGTGCTCATCTTATTTTTGGATTAAATATTCATCGAACCGGAGTGCACTACGGATCCCAAGGAGCAAGGCCAGCCTGCCTGGGCACAGCAGCTGGCAATGACCACAGCTCAAAACTGAGCTGGTGAAGATTTGGGGGGCGAAGGCCAGACAGCAGAGGCAGGATGGGGGTGTCTGCAGGGGTTGGGGAGCCGGAGGCGGGCGTGGGGCTGTGTGGTGCCAGACGGGTGTGCGGCGCGTTGCCAGGGCTAGGGTGCCCTCCTGTGGTCCCTGTGCACCCTCCATCACTGCCTTCCCCTCCTGCTGCCATCAGCCCCAGGCTTTCCTCTGAGAGTGGGCAGGGTGGCTGGATGTGGCCGAAGCAGGTCCCCACGCGGGCACTCACTGTCTCCATCCCCAGGAGGACCAGCAAGGGGATGGTGGTCATGCCGCCCCGGATCCACTCCTCCAGCGTCACGGTCCCGTCATGGTTGTAGTCGATCTCCTCCATCATCGCCTTCAAGATCTGGAGGAGGGATGCAGTGACTCGGCGATGCTGCCTGCGAACCCTGGCTGCCAGCTCCAGCCAAGAGCCCCTGCAGCCCTCCTGGCCACCCCAGCCCCGGCACTCACGGGCTTCAGCTCGGTGGAGTCCCACTCCAGGTACTCGGCCACGTGCACCATCTGGTTAATGATACGATCCAGCTCCTGAGCACAGAAAGACAACAGCACCCGGTGCTAAGGGACGGCTTCAGGCACGAGCGCTGTGTCCAGTCTCACGCCCCCCAATGGGGGACATATCAGGTCTATGTCCCGCTACGGCCAAAGCTGCCCCAGGCCCCCGCCTGCACAGGGGGCCAGTGACACCCTACTTCTCAATGGGTGCTGGTTGCTGCTTTCTCCTCTGAAAATCTGCCACAAAGTCAGCAGTGGGTTTTCCCTCGGAAAAACTACTCTGATAAAACAGATTTTTATTTGCAACGGGTTTCAAGGGAGATACCCAAAGGACAAAGAGAAAACATCCCGGGGGGGGGGGCGGTGCATGATTTTTCCTTTTCTGAAACACCATGACCTGATGTAGAGCTACAATTACTGGTGAGTAGATTTTCTGGAGCTGCTGCTGGATGCTGGATGCTGCAGAGCTGGTGCACATCCCCCAGACAGCTCTGCTGTCTGACCCTGTAGCAAATGCTGCTGCCTTCCTCCTCCCTTCCCATATCCCTCTTTAGCTCAGAGTTGTGCATGATTTTTCCTTTTCTGAAACACCATGACCTGATGTAGAGCTACAATTACTGGTGAGTAGATTTTCTGGAGCTGCTGCTGGATGCTGGATGCTGCAGAGCTGGTGCACATCCCCCAGACAGCTCTGCTGTCTGACCCTGTAGCAAATGCTGCTGCCTTCCTCCTCCCTTCCCATATCCCTCTTTAGCTCAGAGTGCCTTGATGGGGGAACAGGCATCCCAATAGGGCCCTGCGTGTCTCCAGCCCCCCCCGAGCAGCCCCTGCTTTCTCTCCTGAGGGAAGGCTTACCGAGCTGTCTAGGAGGCCGTTTCCATCAGTATCGTAGAGGCGAAACATAACTGGAGAGAGAAGAGAAGCCAGCTGCCAGTTAGAGCCCAGCCCCGGGGCACCCCGGGCAGCCAGTGCTCGGTGCTGGGGCCGCTGGGGCTGCCAGGGCTGCAGGATGGGAGCAGCGCTGCAGCTCAGCCCGAGTGAGATGTGACCCGAGCCTGTACCAGGCTGCGGGGTATTGGTGTGAAGCCGTGACGTCCCTGGCTGCCTCTCTGCCAGACATGGGTGCCGGCAGGCAGGAGCAGAGGGGCGATGCTGAGCAGGGCCCTTTTCTAGCAATAACCCACCCAGGAGCCAAAGCCAGGTTTCCCAAGTGCTTTTAATGTTTCAGCATTAAAAAGTGAGCAGGAGCGTCCAGCCCTGCACCCCTCCTCGGGTGTACCCCCCAGGTGATGCCTCCCACCACTGGTCCCCCCTCCACACGGCGTGACCGGCAGCCTGTGACCCCAGGGTCCCACTTACACTCCAGCTTGTCCTCTGCCCGTCCCCTCTCCAGCAGGGACAGGTAGCAAACGATGTCCTTCAGATGGACCACCTGGGCCAGGGGGGCAAGGGGCGGCAGGGGGGCAGCTTTCAGGGAGCTGTGGCTCTTCCGCAGGCTGAAGGGTAACCTCTTCTCCATGCTCCTCAGGCCTGTGGGCAGGGAGGGGGGGATGAAGGCCATGCACAGGGGGACAAGGAGCCATGCCAGCCGGGACATGGGGCTGGCAGCATGTGAACTCCAGGGCAGGGTCCCATTCAGCGTGGGGCAGGCAAGCTGAGGAGGATGCAGAGCTGGGTGCCATTGCGGGAGCAGGGCTGGGCACACGAAGGGAACACAGCGCTGGGTGCCATCGCAGGAGCAAAGCTGGGCACATGAAGGGGACGCAGGGCTGGCGCAGGAGCAGGGCTGAACACTGCCAGTCAGTCCCCAGGGCGCAGACCTCTGCACCTCTGGCACGGCAGGCGTGGGCAAGATGAGCGGTGGGAGCCCACAGGGACATGCCCTGCCAGGGACAAGCACCCAGCCAGAAGGAGCGAGAAGCTCGGCTGGTGGCGGGCAGCTTGCTGAGGTGCCGGGACAGCCCACGCTTGCAGCTGCCTGCGCCGGCGGCAGCCTTCGGCAGATGGCTGCTCCTGGCAGAGGGGCCATTCCCAGCACTCCCCCTGTCGGTGGCTGGCAGGAGCTTGGCTGGAGGCAGCTATGAGTCACTGCTCAGATCCCCCCTCGCTAGGAGCTGCTGCCAGGTAATTAAGACATTGACTGGCGGGGGCTCTGTGGGATGGGATCGGTGGATTAAGCTTGCAAAGCAAAGGTGTCAAGACGCCAGGAACCCACTGAGTTTGGAAGGTCACCGCCACCACGCTGGGGACTTGACCAGCTGCACCACCAGGGCAAGGTGCAGCTCTGTGGCTTGGGAAACCGGGGAGGGCTTGTCACTGCCTGTGTTCCCCGTGGAGCCCCAGCCAAGCTCACCTGGTGACTGAGGGCTGAGCAGGGACCCAGAGATCTTCGAAGAGCCCGAGGAGTTGTGAGCAGAAGGGGTGCCAGTGGTGGACTTCTGGGAGGATGACCTGGACCAGCTGGGGGAGGTGTTGGGGATCAATGCTGGGGTGAGGGATGCTGGCTGTGGCTCAGCCACGTTGCTGTGGCAGCTCTTGGGCTCAGGAGTGTGTCGTCCCAGGGCACTTAGGAGCATTTTCCCGTTGATCCCTGCAAAGCAGACATAGGCCCGTGGGCAGTGTGACACCAGGGTGCCTGTGCCCGGCAAACCCCCTTCCTCCAGGAGCCCTGCCTGGGTGCCAGTTGCTCACCCTGGGTCCTCTTTGCTAGCCCAAAAGCAGGCTGGTATCCCGGCCCCAGGGCTCTCCAAGGGGCACTGTGGGCAGCCCCTCACCCTTCTGCCTGGCCCAGCGGCTCCCAGCAGCACCCCCATCCCCAGGTGCTGGCCGCCACAGTGCTCGGAACCAGGCAGGGAGGACGTGGTCCCCTGCCACCATGCCCTGATGCGGCAGCCAAGCACCCAGGGAAGATTCTCCCTTTTCTTTTGCAGTTTATAGTCCTTTCAGCAGATGTCTCCATGCGCTGCGAATCCACCCAGGCAGGGGCCAGGGGAGGCAGAAGCTGGGTACCCAGCACACGTCCCCTGCTCTGGGTACAGCCGTGTGGTTGGTGGCCGCCCGCGCCGGTACCTGCTGTGACAGGGGCGCAGGCCACCTTGGTCTGGATGGAGATGCCGGCATCGAGTGACTTGGGCTCTGAATGCGCGGAGGAAAGGGAGCAATCAGTGCAATGGCACCCTGTGGGTCCCTACCCTGGGGAAAGCCCTCTCCTCCCTGGAGCAGTGCAGGGTCCCTGGGAGCCTGTCTGTCAGATGGGACAGAGCTGGGCTGTGTGCTGGCCCCAATGCCACCCACTGTGGGTGCTACCCCGCAACCTTTGTCCCCGTGGGGCAGCGTGGGAGCGAGCCCAACGTGCCACGGTGCCACGGTGTGCCCAGCTGGGCAGCAGGGGCAGGGCTGGCTCACCGAGGGTGTTGAGCTGCGAGACACCGGGGCTCTGGTGCTGGGTCTCAGGGGAGGCTTGGCATATCTTACGCTTGAAGGAGGTGAAGAGGTGTTGGCAAAGCTCTTCGGGCACATCTGCCTCCAGGTAGGTCTTCATGAAGAGGCGAAAGCCCTCGTAGTCAATGGGCTGGGGAAGGGACAGAGGAGGATGACAGAGGTGCCCTGGGCACGCCATGGGCGTGCAGAGCTGCCAGCAGAGGGAGTGTGTCCCGTGCCCTGGGTCTCCCTCACCGGGCACATCAGCTGCAGAGCCCTCCCCAAAACTGCTGGCTTCCCAAATCCCAGTGATGGGATATAACCTAAAGGGACCCAGAGGCAGCAGGGCCAGAAATCCCCAGTGCCAGCTGACTGCTGGGGGCTGGCGCAGCTGAGCCAGGCCAGCGGCGCTGGGAGCAGGGATGAGAGCTGCGGCAGCCGGGGTAGGAGCTGGGGGAGCGGCAGGGAAGGGCAGAGCCGTGGTGGGACGGCTCTTGCAGGCGCTGGGGCAACAGCCAGCTTGCCTGCCCGGGGGTCTGCAGCCAGCGGACCCCCGCAGATGGTGGACAGCTCACTGGAGGGGCAGGAGGCTCTGATGGAGCTGGGTGCTCAGCTCCTGGCAAACAATTGAGGAACTAAATACAGACCTTCTGGCACAGCCAAAGGAAGCTGGGGGTGTTGGAGGAAGAGGGGTGTAACAAGCTGTGCTCTGAAAGCCTCCCGCTCCTCTGGGGCAGGGCACGGAGCAGTGGGACCCTCTGGCCCACCCCCAGCCCCTGGGGACTACCATCCTCCCGAGGTCTCCTCGCCTCCTCCTTCCCTGGGCATCCCCATCACATTGGGACATTGCCTTCCCAATGGCTTTTGTGGCCCCAGCTGAAGCGAGGGTCCTGTGGTGCCCTTGAATAGCAGGGTAGGTTTGCTGCGCCTCCTCGCTGCATTCAGCCCACTGATTTTTTGTGTTTCACCTCATTTCTAGTGATTATGGCCCCTGTGAAAGGCTCTGTCTTGCTGGCACACTAATAGGTCTCTCTGAAAGCACCGCTTAGAAAAAATAAACCCAGCCTTCCCCAGACAAAAGCGAGAAGGCATAGGGCCTTCCCCTGTCCCTGAGCTGGCAACAGCAAAATAATTTGCTTTTGGGGAAAGAGAGAGTAAATCCCTCCCGGCTTCTGCCTGGCAAGGAGATGCCCCAAAACGCTCTCAGCAAGGGAGCCTGCAGCCAGCACAGGACGGCAGTGTGACCACAGAGTCCCGGGAGCATCGGTGGGATGGGGTGGGATGGCCGTGCGGCAAGCCTGGTCCCCGGGATGGCCAGGGGAGGATGTGGTTGGGGGCTGGGAAAGATGCTCCCCATCTTTCCCAGTCCTGGGAGCACGACCATGGGGAGAGGCGGGGGGGCAGACAGACGGATCTGCCTTCTCCTGGCTGCTTTTAGCTGCGGGAGCTGGGCTGAGGGAGTCCAGGATCTGCCAGCAGCATGCGGGGAGGCTGGAGGGGACAGGGCCATACCTGTTCAGGGTTGTACCTCGAGAGGACGCCATCCCCATGGAACTCCTCCAGGACATCCTTGAGCTTCTTGGTGGAGTCTGGGGAGACAAAGGCATCACACTGAGCATGCTGCCGGCGAGCCCCCTTCGCCGTTAGATCACTATTCAGGATGGTGGAGTCAAGTTTATCTGCTGGATATGCAATTTCTGGTCCCCTCCATGCCTGGGAAGGGGCCACCCCGTGCCCTGCTTTTCCCTCCCCCTTTGGAGTGCCGGTAAAGCTTGCCAGCAGAGATGGGTCCTCTTCCTCCTACCTATATGAAAATAAATGCAGACCCAGAGCAAAGCCACAGCACTCGGCAAGGAAAGCCCGGACCACTCCCTGGTCCCAGCTGCTCCGGGGGCAATGCTGAGCACAAAGCCTGGCCATCCCTGCCTTGGCCCCTCCACACAGGCTTTGGGTGGCTGCCCCCGCGCTGAGAGCTTGTGCCTGCTCAGCAGCCCAAGCCATCCCTGAAGCCTGCCCTGGGCTGCCTGTCAGCATCTCCAGGAGGCGCAGGAGGGAGAATGAGAAGGGTATTGCTCCATGCAAACCTCCACACAAACAGTAAATGGCTCATGAGTTCTCCTGGCTGGGTGTCCTCAGTGCTGGAGTGGCTGGAGGGACACCAGTCCTTCCAAAATTGAGAAATAAGGGAAAACCAGAAAAAAAGATCAAGGGGAGGTAACATTAAGCCCTAACCTTCAGACACAGATCTCTGGGCATGTCCATTTAAAAGGTGCTTGGACATGCCAGCCCTGTTGACTACTGTGAAATCCTCTCCCCAAGCAGGGGGTTGTGCTGGCTCCTGCTCCCCCCAGCCCTCCGCTGCGGATGGAGCTTGGTGCTGGACCACGAGTGTCCGAGATGCCTGGGGCAGGTCTGGGGGTTACAGAGCACAATTGGGGGACAGCGTGCACTCGAGGAGGGGGCTCCTGGGCCCAGGGCTGGGGAGGACCTGTGGGAGGACCCCTGAGCCCTGCTCCCCAGCCCAGTGCCAGGCCACCCTCCCAGGGAGGAGGCAGCTGCCCATGCTGCAGCCTTGCTTGCCAAACTTTGATTAACGAAACGAAGACGCCGTACATGTTCTGAGCTCAGCATTACAGATGGCATTTTATGGTCTGTGATTCAAGAAAGCAGAGCCCGTTCTCCGGAGAGGCAGGATGAGATGCAGATAGTGATGCTGTGCACACACCTCTGCCCGCAGCCCTGCCTGCACCTGCCTGGGATGTCTGGCAGGCAGGCAGGAGGCAGGGAGCAGCTTGCACTGAGCTGTTTGGATTCAGAGACCGTGCCTCCCTGCGCTGTCAGCCCTGACCCGGTTTGCCTCACCCCTATGATGCGCAGCATCATGAGGACAGGCCCAGGGGGCTCATGGGGTCTCCTCTGCCTCCCAGTCCTCTCCCACACAGCTGCAGGAGCCTGCTCATCCTGGGGTCGTGCTGCCCCTGCAAAGTGATGCCCCTGAGATTTTACACCCCTTCTCCCTTCATCCCGCGGTCCTGGCTGGGCTTTTCTGCCCATCCTGCCCTGCTCTCAGCACCTCCCTGGGCTGCACCACTTCTCCATTGCCTGCCACAAGGAGCACGCCCGCACACTGGCTCTCCAGCAGGCAGGACATCAAGGACCTGGTTTCGGACCCCTGGGCTTTGCCCAGGCTCCCTTCGCAGCTGCTCGCAGCCCCAGGACCCCATGGCACTGCCGCCAGCCTCCTCTCCTCGGCAGGAGCTGCAGGAGAGGGTTGCTCTGCAAAAGTGCTAAGTAAAATTACCACAGAGGGCTGGCAACCCGAGGCGAGCCGTGGAGCAGCTCTGCGTGTTTAGGAAAAGCCAATCTGCTTTCCTTGCTGGCATTTCGCTTTGCTAACGAACGTGGGAGCTGGCCGCCTTCGGAGGGACAGAGCTGTGCTCATGTGTGCGTCCCCCAAAGCAGAGGGGACTAGTGCTCAGCTAAATCCTCCCGGGCACGCAGGCATGGGGATTCCTCTGCCGTGCCCCACCAGCCAGTGCTGAGGGTCGGGGACCTTCCCAGCCTCCCCATTCAAAACCTAAGAAGTCACCTAGTTCCCCAGGACATCAAGGACGTGTAGGACACCAGTCTGGCACAGATCAGCAGGACTTTTAAAACCCCTCTCCCAGTCCCAGTGGGGATGTGGGGGGGGCGCAGGGTACTCACAGTCCGTGTACTGCTGGAGCTGGGCAAACTCGGTGGGGCTAAGCGAGATCCACCCTCCATCGCTCATCTTTGGGTGGCAGGGCCCGCCTGGGGGGGCCACGAGCCACTGCACTCCCCGTGCTGGGCTCGGCGCCACAGGTCCCAGCCAGCTGCTTGGTCACATCGGCATTGTGAGGGGTATGGGGGGCTCTCGGACAGCTGGCATCATCCCGCTGAGCCCGTGGGCAGCAAACCCCAGAGCCAGGAGCAGCCGGTCAGCACCTTCCTCCCTAGAGTGGGGACAGAAAGAGAGGAGGGGGTCAGCGGTGCCCTGCCCATGGCAGGCAGCGGCTGGCTCCTGCCTGCACAGGGTACCCT